TTTATTATTAATTAATCACTTTTATCATTTCATATTTTTTCTTCATATTTTCCCTTCTCAATAATTCATTAATTATATATTTTTTCTTCAATATTTAAAAAGCTCCAATAAAATTGGTGATGAAGGTGTATCAGGTTTAGTTTCTGCTTTAGCAAAATGCATTAATCTCTCAAATTTGACACTTTAACTTCAGTAAAAAAAGTTTATTTTTTTGGATTGTGATTTTTTTATTTGTAAAAACAAACTTAAAACAATAAATTTCATTTTTATTTTTCTTTTTATTGTGCTGCTTTTTTTTCTTCTTCATTTTTTAATTTAACTAATTATTTTATTTTGAACTTTTGCTTTTATTATAAATTAATCAATTTTATTATTTCATAATTTTTCTTCATATTTTCCTTCTCAATAACTCATTAATTATATATTTTTTCTTTAATATTTAAAAAGTAAAAATGGAATTGGTGATGAAGGTGCATCAGGCTTAGGTTCTGCTTTAGCAAAGTGCATTAATCTCTCAAATTTGAGACTTGAACTTGCGTAAAAACAGTTTATTTTTTTTGGATTGTGATATTTTTATTTTTAAAACAAACTTAAAACAATAAAGTTAATATTTCTTTTTCTTTTTATTGTGCTTGGTTTTTTTTCTTCTTCCTTTTTTAATTTAACTCATAATTTTATTTTGAACTTTTGCTTTTATTATTAATTAATCAATTTTATTATTTCATATTTTTTTTCTATATTTTCCTTCTCATTAACTAATTAATTATATTTTTTCTTTAATATTTAAAAAGCTACAATTAAATTGGTGATGATGGTGCATCAGGCTTAGGTTCTGCTTTAGCAAAGTGTATTAATCTCTCAAATTTGAGACTTGAACTTTCGTAAAAACAGTTTATTTTTTTTGGATTGTGATATTTTTAACTAAAAAAAACTAATTAAAAATAATAAAGTTCTTTTTTCTTTTTCTTTTTATTGTGCTTGCTTTTTTTTCTTCTTCCTTTTTTAATTTAAATCATTATTTTATTTTGAACTTTTGCTTTTATTATTTATTAATCGATTTTATTATTTCATATTTTTTCTTCATATTTTCCTTCTCAATAACTCATTAATTATATATTTTTTCTTTAATATTTAAAAAGTGAAAATGGAATTGGTGATGAAGGTGCATCAGGCTTAGGTTCTGCTTTATCAAAGTGCATTAATCTCTCAAATTTGAGACTTGATCTTTCGTAAAAACAGTTTATTTTTTTTTGGATTGTGATTTTTTTATTTGTAAAAAACAAACTTAAAACAATAAAGTTCATTTTTCTATTTCTTTTTATTGTGCTTGGTTTT